ACATTCAAATGAAGAAATATTTCACCATTCCACTATTCACTTTATGCAGAATCAAATACGGGGCTAGGTGCACTTTAATTTGGCTTAATATTTTCCAAGTCCAGCTGATTCCATGAAACTCAAGAAAAGAATTTTATTTCCATGTGCTCTGAGATGGAAAACCGCTGACTTTTCGATAGTACTTTATATACTTTTTCTATCATTAGAAATCACACATTCATTTTTAATCTAGACATGTACCCGTGTAACAGTCGTAACCCTTGTCGTAATAATGGTACTTGTAGCAATGGTTGTAATGGAAGATATTACTGCTCCTGTCCTAATGGATACAGCGGTAGTCATTGTGAAATAGGTATGTAACAGTCAAGTAATAGACCATTGTGTTTAATACCAAAGCAAATGACGAAATGACGAATCTGAAAATGAGATCTTTTGATTCAACATTCTTTCAATGAAAGCCCGACTATAATGCTTTCAATACCTATATTGTTTTAAACTTTTAAATAGAATAGAATAGATGCTTTATTTAAACACGGTAGACTCTTCAGGATTTACAATTAGTATAATACTTTTATATATTTTTATGTTAGGTGAGGTGCGCATTCAAGGAGGAGGGTCCTCAGGTCGATTACAAGTTCTTCATGATGGACAATGGGGTACAGTGTGTGATGATTACTGGTCCATGACCAACACCCACGTGGTTTGCCGCCAGCTTGGATTTGATGATGCCCTTTCTTATCATATCAGTGGAGGAGGAACAGGACCGATATGGCTTGATAATGTACAATGTTCTGGCAGCGAGAGTGCTATTCATCAGTGTATACATAATGGGTGGGGAAATAGCAACTGTGGTCATGGTGAAGACGTCTTTGTATCCTGCTATCGTGATGGTAAACAATAACCTATTGAAACATTATTGTTACAGCTTTAATAAGAGGAATTGCATGATAAGGATGTTGATGATGTTTTATTTGATTAATAATGATAAACTATATTTCAATAGGGAACATTTAACAATTTACACTGATAAACTTATAGTCCTCAATGATGATTAAAATTAGATAAGATCCATTACATACATGGTGTACTATATATACATTAAAAACCAATCATCAGTGATACGTTGAAATTAAGCAGGTTTATCGTGGACTATTAAGCGTCTTTTAACGTATTTCTAGGAATCTTTCTTAGCATTCGACAACATCGTAGACTGCGTGACGTTATAAACCTGTTTTTACATTAAACATGTAACGATCGAATATTAAAGCTTTTTAAAATCATTTATGTGTCAAAAGCAATAACTTTACTAATTTGAAAATATTTTAACAAAGAATGCAGAAACTACACCGTGCTGAACACAGCAAACCGAGCAGCAAGTTTTCGTGCTGAGTTTTGTTGCGTTGAGCATTTGACTTGGTCTTGATCGACGTTCAAGAGATTGCTGATCTTTATCTTTGATGACATTTTCCTCGATGTCATCATTAGAAAAACATTATGATGCTGAAATACCATATTTTTCAAATCAATTTATTCAATTTGGCTTAATATTTTCCAATTCCAGCTGATTCCATGAAACTCAGAGAAAAGACTTTTATTTCCATATGCTCTGAGATGGAAAACCGCTGACTTTTCGGCCGTACTTTATATATATTTTTCTTCTATCATTAGAAATCACACATTCATTTTTAATCTAGACATGTACCCGTGTAACAGTCGTAACCCTTGTCGTAATAATGGTACTTGTAACAATGGTAATAATGGCACGTACACCTGTTCCTGTCCTTTTGGATACACTGGTCAAGAATGTCAGACTTGTAAGTAACAGTCAAGCAATAGACCATTTTACGCTGCTATTGATCCCTAACATCATTAGACCAACTTAAAGGGAATGCTACTATTTTAACATGAGAAATCCTATTCATCTTGAATCTAGACATGTCGTGTAGCAGTAGCCCTTGTCGTAACGGAGGCACTTGTTTCAATGGTAATAATAGCACGTACACCTGTTCCTGTCCTTCTGGATACACTGGACAACAATGTCAGACTTGTAAGTAACAGTACAAGCAATAGAACATTGTATTTTACGCTGCTACTGATCCCAAAAATCATTAGACCAGTTTAAAGGGAATGCTACTATTTTAACATGAGTAATCCTATTCCTTTTGAATCTAGACATGCCGTGTAATAGTAACCCTTGTCGTAACGGAGGCACTTGTTACAATGGTAATAATGGCACTGTAGCTGCAGAATACTTGTGACACTCGCCTTTATTTCCCAAAATACACGTTGATTACACTTCGTTTAACTGATTGAACTCTCCGATCTTAACGCAGCGATTGAAATTATTCTTTA